ATGTATGGAAGCTGAGCAATCTCCTTTATTTTGCTTTTATCGAAAACAATTTAAAAATTAGAACATAGTGCGGATTTGGTTCAGTGCGGATCGGGTCCAGTGTGGGTTGGGCCACTTACGGATTGGGACCAGAGCGGATTAAGGCAAGTGCGGATTGGGTCAAGTGCAGTTTGAGCCCAATGAGGATTGCGCCCAGTGCGGATTGGGCCCAATGCAGATGGAGCCCAGTGTGGATTGGACCCTGTGCGGCTTAGGACCAGTACGGATTGGATCCATTGCTATCCCCTATCCGTATATTTTGTTCGCCTAGCCATACCGCCATGACTTCCGATGCAAAAAAGTAGCACGTTAACAATGATTTTTTATAGACTTTTTCTGCTCGATTTCCATACACTTTTCCAGTCCTCTTAGTAGTAGCAACAGTAATGAGGCCCTTTCTGCTTCTTTTTTCTAAAAAAGAAAGAGCCATTTACCTAGCAGGTATACTATTAAGTATTTTAATTTTTTTAAGGGTAACCTTATTCAATATTTCAATTAATAAAAATCCTACTAATCTAATATTATAAATGTATAAGTTTGTATATTTGACACTTAATCTTTTTTTTTTGTCTGGAAAATGCTTTATGCATCCTTCAACCACCGGGGGAGCGAGAGGAAGGTATGTGGGACTCCTCCCTGCTCATTTCATCCAGCCCCCGGGCCCGATGAAATGTGCAGGGCACTACCTACGCCCTGAACAGGGCCCCTAAAAACCAGACAATACCCCTGCACCGGTCACCCGACACGCATTCAGAGGACCTTAGTCCTCCCAATGCGTGTCGAGAGTGCGGATGTAGTCGTGGCACCTGATTTCCAATTGGCCACGCATCCGCCGGTGTTTGTCCATTGCTGGACCCGCCCCGATGAAGATGCCCCGGAGTATCAGGGGCATCAGCATCCAGAGAGCTTGTGCAATGCGAGCCCGTCCTCCCCCAGGACAGGCCCGCGGCTCTCACGGGAGTGGGAGGGAGAGCGTAGTTCTCTCCGTCCCTCTCCCGCCCCCATTGGCTCCACGTGAGCCGGTTGGCGCGATACGCCTCTCCTGTGGCCCTAAAAAGGGCCTTTGTGTGTGGTCCTTAAAAGGACCTTTGGTTCACAGGTGGACTACCGGATAAGGGGGTGGGCTTAACGCCGCCGCCTTCTCCGCCGCCCCCCATGCCTGATGGAACCCACTTGGGCTTCCACCTCCCGGGCTCTCTCCTCCTCTTCTTTCCGCGATACAACCGCCTCGCAGAAAGTGGCTACTGCTGCCCATGACCTGTCGCTGCCCAGCATAGCTCTGACTACGCTGGGTAGGGAGAGGTCAGATCCCACTATCCCAGGAACGCTGCTCAGCCCAAGCCGTGCACACTTCAAGAGTGTGTTGAGCAGTATCCTCAAAAGCGCCGCACCCATGACATTCTGGCGTCTCCTCCTTCCCTATCCGGTGCAGGAACTTTCCGAAGCATCCGTGCCCGGAAATCACCTGCGCCAGCCGAAAGGTAAGACGACCCCTCTTTCTTCCATCCCAAGCTTTCAACATGGGTCTGATCGCCCCCACCGTTTCGACCCCAGCTGTAGGTTCCCGTAAGCGATCATCCCATATTTCCATGGTGAGCCTCCCTACGGATCCTCATCATATCCTCCACCGTGGCATTCTCCCCCCTTTCTCTTGCCGCGATCCTCCCCCTGTACACTGATGCCAGGACTTGGGCTTCTAGGTCCCAGGGGGGCATCGCGGCAAGAGCGCACGCCGCCTCGTAGGAGACAGTGCGATAGCACCTAGCCGCCCTAAGGGCCACAATTCTTTGCGGCCTTCTAAGATGGGCCTTGTTGACAGTGGTCAGAGCATCGGCCCATACTGGCGCCCCGTACATAGCCATACTCCTGACCACACCAGCATATAATTTCCTACAGCTGGTGTCCGGGGCAATGTAGGGGACATTGGGTAACAACCTGCTTAACGCCGCAGCCGTGCCTATCAGCCTTTGCGCAAGCTTTTGAAAGTAGGGACCAAACCGTCACTTGCAGTCTATTTCAAGCCCCAGGTACTTGAAATGCTGCTTAATCGGCACCGTCTGCCCGACCACATGTAGCCCTGATCCTGATGGTGGCCTGGCTCTCTGTCCATAAAACATGACCGCCTCCGTTTTGGCATTCTCCACTTCAAGTCCTACCCTCCTGATACGACCAATGACGAAATTCGCCCCCACTGTGGCCTGCTCACTGGCTTCCTTGTACGATCCACCCCATGACACAACCAAAGTGTCATCTGCATAACAGATGACACTGGTCCGAGGCGGGAGCTCTCCTCGAAGAACCCAGTCATACCCTAGGTTCCACAGGAGTGGTCCTAGGACCGACCCCTGCGGAACTCCTCTCTCCACCAGTCTAGTTAAAAGTCCCCCACCAGCTCCAACATAAACCACTTTACGCCCCTCCAGGTAGTTTTCCACCGCTTTCCTGAGGTACCTCGGTAGCCCATGATGCCGTAGGGCATCCATTATCGCCTCAAACGGGAGGGTGTTAAAGGCGTTCTTCACGTCGAGAGATATCGCGACTACCCTTTCCTTCCTGGCCACCGCTCCCAGTGACAGCTGCTTCAGGGCCATTATGGCGTCCACCGTGGACTTCCCCTTCCTGAAGCCAAACTGCACCTCCGACAGATTGGGCCCCACGTTGTCAAGGTGCTGGACAATTCGGTTTGCAAGGATCTTTTCGAAGACCTTGCCCAGCTCGTCCAGCAGAATGATTGGACGGTACGCAGACGGCGACTCGGCCAGTCTGCCCTCTTTCCTAATTAAGCAAAACTTACCCACTTTCCAACTTGTTGGAAAGCGTCCTTCCCTAACGCACTTGTTGAGGATCTTCAGGTAGTACTCTCCCAGGTGCCCCATAGCTATAAAGAGGACCCGCCCCGGAATCCCGTCCGGTCCCGGAGCCTTCCTTTTGCCTCGCGTCCGGTGTAGGGCCACCTCCAGCTCTTCCTCAGTGATCTCCGGGATTAGGTCGTTGGTTACCGCTTCTTCTCGCTGCGACACTTGCAGGGAGGATTCGCCCGTATTGCCCGGAAATAAGGTCCTGACGATGTTTGTTAGGACAGCCGGCTCGAGTGACTCCGTCGAGACGGATTGTAGAGCTAGCCTGCTTCTGACCATACGAAATGGCCGCCCCCAAGGATCTCTGTCTAGGTCCCTCAAAAACTCCTCCCACGCCCGGGCTTTTGACCTACTTTGAGGAGATAACTCCTCCTTTAGGGCCTTCCTGGCCATCCCGTATGCCACCCTCAGCCTTTCCTCTTCACCGGGTATCCTTCGGATCCTGCGGCGGCATCTCTGCAGATCGGTACGCGCCCTCAGGCAGACGGCCCGCAGGTTCGCGATTACCGCTGACCACCAGTACACCTGTCGTCTGCCCGTAGGGCCTCTCGAACGTGGCATGCAGGCGTCACAGATGGTCTGCAAGGCTACCTCTAGTCTCTTAACCATCCCCTCCAAGTCTCCATTGCCACCCACCTCCATATTCCAAGCCTGGATGGTTGCCGCCTCTTCAGCCCTATGTCTGTGGCAAAGGTGATGTCCACCAGTGATCCCCCATTGTGTCTCACGCATGTGAAGGTGGTGCCCCTGTTGACCACTGTCAGGCCCGCCTTCATGGCCCACTCCAGGACAGCATCTCCTTTCCTGTTCGTGTCTGGGGAACCCCATGCCGGATGCTTTGCATTGAAGTCCCCTAGCACGATTACCTTACCGGAGTTGAATCTTCTCACCACGCCTTCTAGTAAGTCCAGCCAGGTCTCCACTTCCTCGAGGTCCCTGTTCGGCGAGATGTAGACCCCGATTACGGTTAAATCACCCCAGCCAATCCTCACAAAACCAGGACCGCGTTCCTTGATTACTAGCCGCGGTGCCCGATCGTTCGGGTTGAGGGCCGCAACAGCGACTCTTCCCTCCAAATCACCCGCCCAGAGAGGGCTGTCCGGAACATGATAGGGCTCTGCTATCACCGCCAAGTCCCGTCAATACGCCACGCCACCGCAGTGCTGACCAATAGGTCCTGCGCTCCGGTGGCGTGGTTGAGATTCCCCTGAAGGAAGCTGATATGGTTGTAGCTGTCCATTAAATATCCATATCAGCTCCCCCCGCGGCAACCCCGCTCCCTCCTCTTTCAGTGTTCGGGCCCCTTGGGTCGTTCCTCCTTTTCGGTGGTCTGCACCTTTTTCCACCCATAATATGCCCAGCTGCTACTCCAGCCTCCGCACACACCACGCATCTCATGGTCCCACTGCAGTCCGCAGCTTTGTGACGTAATCCTCCACATCTGTAGCATAGACTACTGCGGTCCGGACCTCCTTTACAAGTTTGGCCAGTGTGCGCCAACCCCATGCACCTAAAGCAGCGTAACGGATGCTTCTCCAACAAGTGTACCCTGGCCACACACCAACAAATGGTTAATTTGCCCGCCTCTGGTCCCAGTATTGTGTTGACGGCGGCCACTGGGCATCTAACCATGGCCGTATACATCCTACCAGGACCCACCCTCAGAGAGCCAACTCTGACCGCTTCCGGTGAGCATTTCCCGGCTGCTGCTATCGCCTCCCTTAGGTCGGCTCCGTCTATGGAGTCATCAAGCCCGGTTACCCTTACATCCACGCACATCGTTGCGCGCGTAACCGTGACTTCCTCTCCTAGGACGCCTCGTAGCTTCTCCATCAGCCGGTCAGCCTTTGCTCCCCCTTCCTTCCCAGCAACCTCCAGAATCCTAGCACCAGTGGCTGCGTGTCTGACCCTAACATTAGGAATGTCTAGTTCAGGCAGTTTGATTGCCCTCCTAGCTTTTGTGATGGCCTCGGCATATGTAGCGCCTTCTCCTAAGGCTCTCTCCGAGATCTTCATCACAATAGCTGCCGAGCTAGGAGCCTGCAACCTTTGGGGCCTAGAATGCGTTGTTCCAGGGGGATCCCTATGCGCTCTCTGCACTACCTTCACTTTTCCCCCACCTTTTGCAGCCACCGCCGCATAATTATGCGGTAGTACTTGCCCCGCCTCTATAACCTCATCAGTTCCGTCGTTGCTCTTTCTAGCCGCCTTTTTCTTCTTCCTCTTCTTGGCGGTGGTAACAATCTTCCACTCTTCAGGTCTCTCCCTTTCCTGGACCGGTGTAGTCCTTCCTGAGGTTGCCTTCTCTGATTGAGCAGCCACCCTCCTCTTGCCCGAATTTAACTGTGGACGCAGCCCTTCCGATCTTACCAGGTACTTCAGGAGGGAGTTCACGCGGGTACTTACCATCCTGGTGGTCTCCAGCATGAGGTTTTCCGCAAACTCTTTCAGTACCTTATCTTCGGACTCATCGACCCTAATAGGGCCCGTAATTGGGTCAGCCGCCTTCGGGGGCCTGCCTTTCGTCGACAGTTCCTTACTGAATGCCCTCACCTCGCCCCTTAGTGACTGCACCTGCTGCATAAGGTTTTCATTAGCCTTCCTCAGGTTAGCATTTTCTTTCATAAGGCTTTCTATCCTTTCCTGGATGCTTTGCGTCACCACTACTTTGTCGCTATTTGTGGCCTTTCTGAAGTCCATGTTTATCTGTTCCCCAGCAGCGGCCACAGCAATCAGCTCCAACGAATCCTTCACCGTCTGCAAGGTGCTATTAAACCTGTTGAAACCATTATCCTCATCCGTTCCTTTCCTTTCCGTGCTCAGAACCGCCTCCTCTTCGCAGTCTATGTCGGGGCTGGGTTTTCTACCAATTCCTTTTTCCCTCCCCTATCCTCCCATGTCGAACCAGTGGCCTTCGCCTTCCTTAGGCCTGCTTTCGCCTTCTTCCGCCCTTCCCCGGTCTCTCCGTCCGTATCCGTGCCTGAGTGATCTCGCAACGATTCTCTCGACCTTTTCAGCCCCAGGTCCTTTAACTGCTGGGTTGTTAAACCCTCCTTATTTCTAAGGTCACCAACACTGCTGCCGCGACTGATAGGAATAATCAGTTTTAGTGCACCACATGACACTCTACCCTGTCCTTTCTGGCTTGCCGCACCTTATGAGCTGGCAGTTGGTTCGGCGGGATCATCAGACTTTCGTCTGGGACATTCGCTCCTTAACCCTCCCTCCCCTTATCGAGCCTATCCGACTCCTCACCTTCTCCACCCCCCTGGACGCAGTTTATTGGTGGCCCATTGGCCGAATAGCATTTGCTGCCCCCCCCCCCAGGATTCTCGGGGCATTGACCTGATGCCGAGGCATAAGGGTGGGCCTCCCCACTGTCACGGGTACCAACCTGGGGAATACGTTTATTCCCAAATGCTTTCATAGTTTTTATTTGCCTCTTGCGGGCGAGGCAACCCATCTCCCTCACAATTCCGTCTTTGTTTTTTATAGAGGTTAGCTCCTCTAGACCCCCACCCTGGAAGGGTAGCGGTCCTCGTTCCCGCACCACGTGCGGGGCTACGAGTTGGCCGGAAGCGACGCTATGTTAACGCTGCAACCGCCCAGACCAAACACTCATCGGTCCACCAAGAAAGTCCAAACTTCACTGATGACAGGTTTCCCCTTCTTGATAAGAAGGGGAACCTATCCATGCACTGAATACCCTTCTAGCCACTAGTGCGGCCCACCAAGCAACACTCAGCCATACCACGCCCCCCCTCCGGGGGGGCCGCTTGCTAGACTCTCAAGGACTCTGCCGGGTTGCCCGGGGTGCACCACGTGGAGGTGGTCTGGCATCGCACCCCATATAGTTTATGACCTGGATTGAAACAGGATTCTTTTTTCCCGGAACAATGTCAGGTTCCTATGGAATTCTCAAAAAACTAACTTAACGTGGACGAATTTGGATGGGGCCGCTAGTTCCGAATAATAATTATACGAAATATAAGTTAATACAATAAAAACTTAAGCAAATTGAGTATATTTTTTGGTGGAACTACGTGGTTGTGCTCGTAAAATGCTTGATTTATCACATCAGCTATATGGCGAGTAAAATACCGAGTTTACCCGAGTAAACTCTTTTCAATTACAAATTCAGAAATCAATAAACCCTCCGGCTTTATACAACTTCTTTTATTACAGAAAGGGTTTATTGTAGTGTACAGACAAATAACTAAGCATTCAACTACTGATGTTTGCGTTTTATTGTACCAAAACGTAATACGAAAATGTATATAACGTTTCCTAGAATGTGGAAGGGCAAACTTTCATGAATATAAATAAATATTCATATAATAATATGTCATCAAGACTAGTCAACAAAATTGATTTGTTTTGGGAAAATTTGGGAGATGTAGTGTCATGAAGAGAAAAATATATATAAAAATGAAGTAAGGGATATAAGGAAAAGGTAGAAATAAAGGAAAAATAGTTACAGAAAATATCTTGATTGCCCAAACAAGTAATAAACAAAGATCTTGGAATAAGAAAAGCAGTACATTCAGAGCCGAAAGCAGGAGCATTGCTATACCATCAACCGGTCCTCGAAAGTTTCTAAGGAATTCGGCTGTGCCTTCAGCCCTTTTAAACTCTCTAAAATTTTGTTCCCAGGGTGGATATGTTCATCAGACAGACCTGGAGGGAGACCAGACTCCAGCTTCCGGAGGACATATTCGAGGAAGGCGATGACCACGTCACTCTCCCTCCAGAGTTCTTTGACAACCTTTGGCACCCAGACCCTTACTTCCTAAACTCTAAAGTCACAGGTAAATCTCGTATATCCTAATTTTGATCTTTATTTATTGATTGCACAAAACGTAATTTACAGTAAGCACGAATATTAATTTATCAAAAATATCGGTAAGGTATTATTGAACCACAGCGTAGACAGCAAGCTTTAATCAAAATACAACACATTGGGCTTCTGACATAAGCAATTACAGTTTCTTTAAAATCATTTGGAGTACCTAAATGATAAATAATTCACAAAAATAAACAGAGCTTGTATTATTTAAATTGTAATGCATAGAAGATATGCATGGATACAAATATTAACACGACCATCAAAACTAAACCGAGATTCAAACACAAGGTGCTTCATGGTGAAGGCTTGGTTGTGGGTTGGGTTTAATTAACGGGATTTAAACGGGATAAAAATGAGTGTTAAATGGGTTTAACACTCCTTTTGATCCCGTTAAAAAGTGGTTTTATTTAATGAAAACTAAAGATACTAATATCTCTACGGTCGTTCGTTGGGAAATATTTTGAAATGTCGTTATTATAATGCAATTCAAACTTATACTGCGTAATCAGCTTCGAATATCACACGAAGCTTTCACTCAAAGGTAACTTAATATAAAACTAAGACTATTAAATAAATATTTTGATACCTCGTCTCTCCGCGTATTGAAATTCGAAACGCGCAAAGATCCTACTTAATGATTCAGTTTAAGTATAACCGCGCCTTTATCGCGTGTCAATAAGAGCTAAATTCTCAGCAAAATATATGTCCCTGTCACGGTCTTATATGTTCGGTTATATTTAATCAAAAAGTCGTTAACGTTGTTAATTTAAATTATACTTGTTATCACCTCTCAAGGCAGTGAATATTCCGAAGCATAAACATAAATTAACATTTACATTAATAATGTTATGCTTATAATGTATGTTGTTGAATTTACCAACTAAAAGTAATTTCTGAGAATTCCCGATTCTAATTCTTTCCATGATAAAATCACGTATCTGTAATTATTTAAATGAGATATTTCAGCAATTTGCTGAGATGTTAATTATATTTCCCTCCGTTCACACATAAAAAATAATTAATTGAAAGCTTGTGACCTGTGTAAAATGAAAGACCTCCACTGCGTTAACCGGGAGCACGTAGTCACGGTAATATTATCTATACAGTATTGTGACTGGGCCCTGTCCTTGAAATAACTGCCTACGGCCGAGCGGGGCGTATCCACGCGGTAGGGCTGCCCGCCTACAGTATTTTAATTTCATCTTCATAACTGAGTTTCTTTCTAGTTTTGTGATTGTAAATATTTTATTTTGACGTGATAAGTTGATAGTAAAACTCAAAAGTTTATTATTTTTTATATCATATCAATTTAATGGAGCAACGGAGCTTAACTCGCATTCGTTATCTCCTTTCATTAGTCCTTTCATTTGATACCCATATTGTATGAGTGCAATGAAAATAACTATTCCGCCATGTTGGATTTAGAATGACGTCACACAGCTAACCGTGCTTTTTAATCAAAACGTGTATATACAAAATTTCAGCTCAACCGGTTGAAGATATCTGCTTCAAAATTGAGTTGCAAGATTCCACCCGAACAAACATAGTTACATACCTACCTATATTGCAAGTTAATTAAAAGCTTGTAAAAACTCGACTGCTGATTTTTATTCTTGGATTTAGAGTAACGTCACTTTATATTTCGAGCTATTCTCCGCAAGCCCTTTAATTTGATACCCATATCGTAGGAATGCATTAAAATAACTATTCCACCATGTTGGATTTAGAATGACGTCACACAGCTAACCGTGGTTATTAATCAAAACGTGTATATACAAAATTTCAGCTCAACCGGTTGAGGGTATCTGCTTCAAAATTGAGTTGCAAGATTCCACCCGAACAAACATAGTTACATACCTACCTATGTTGCAAGTTAATTAAAAGCTTGTAAAAAACTCGACTGCTGATTATTATTCTTACATAATTCAATAAAAGAATATTATTTTAAACATACAAGGTATATTTATTTATAAGTCATGGCGCAGTCGGGTAAAAAGGAAATTACCTACAATGTAGGTAAATCTTACTAGGTAGGTACTGTAGGGATCGTTTCATGCAAACTTTATTATTATTGTCATTGAATCACTTTTATTTTCAAGAAATTATTATTATTATCAATAAACAAAATATTGTTTTTTAAACTCCGCACAAATCTCCCTATTTTATTATTTTCCAGCTATCAATTCCTGTCAACAATCCGTCTCTTTTTCAAATTACCTAATAACCTGCCAGTATATACCAAAAATATCCGATCAATACAATACCTACCATTTATTACTCGTAAATTATTTCATATTGATATTTCATTTAATTCAATAATATATGTAGTTTAGTTATTCAATAATGTATGTACTTAAGTTGAGTAAGTAGATAGCCTAGTCTAGGAAACTACCTACCTATTATGTAGTTTTGTTTTTAACGCGAGTGTAGGTAGATTACTCGTTTGTCTTTTTTTTCACCCTATCCACTTATTTATATATTATTCCAGATATTTTGCCCAATGGAAAAATCGAAATACCTAAATATTAAAAACAAATAACGTACTAGTAGATAGGTGTATAAAAAAATATTCTTTTCCTTTCCAATATTTCAGGTAATTTAAAAAATTATATCTCTGGGTGCGTTATTGAAGATCGTCGTTTGTTCTTTGCCGTTTTAAATTATGTAGGTATCTACATAATTTAATATGGCAATCAAATATTTACAATACAAATCGCACGTTTAAGCACGGCTAACTGAATAAAAAACAATTCACACCGTTCGGTCGTCGCTGCGGCGCATTCGCGACTGGGTGTCCCTCGAGAGTCCCCCGAACTTGAGTGGCGTAGGTATGATTCGCTTTTCGACCGTTTGTATGAAGATAGAATACTGTATATAATATTACCGTGACGTAGTGGACGTCTGCTCTGCATTTTGGTTCATTTCATATTACAGCGCTCCGTGAGGCGGGTATTCCGTCGCATGGACGACAGAAAAATAACTTATTATAGACTGTTTACCCGCGCGATCGAAATTGTACTAGTGGCACTGCGAGAGGCGGGAGACCTTTCCGGGTCCTGCAATAGGTAAATTTGCCCGTTACGGAGCGCGGTGGGGGTCTCCGCAGCGAACTTCCGCTCCATGCTCCAGCTCAAGGAAGCGGATTCTCTTAATCAAAGGGTGCCAGGCTTATATATATTATTATTAACTTTACTTTCAATGACCTTTTACACAGAAGGTCATTGTGACTAGCACTTAATGGCTTAATTACACTTGGTCGTTAGCCCGAATACGATTTCCAGTGGAATTCGGTTCAACAAAAGTGTAAGTGAACGGAGCCGAGTACGCCCGCATTCCAATTGTTTTCGTTTAAGTTAACCGACACCGTCTTCCAGTCCGTATTCCAGTGTAAATATTGCTTTGGATACCCAAATGCGAATAATGTCTTTCGTACAGCCGAATACGGCCTTACGACCAAGTGTAATTGAACCTTGGTGCTCAATTAAAAAAGAAACTAATAGAAAATCGAATCGTGTCGGCGGAAGTCATTGGTGTGAATTCGTTGGTTCGATGCTCATGTAAATAAGCTCACATTATCATCAAGTACAATACAGTAATTTTCTAGTTATAATCACAGCAACACATTATATATATTCAGCATATCTGCCATGACCGGAGGAGTCCTGAGTTCCAATGGATAATACAAGTAATACAAAATACACCTTCAAGTCAGGAAATTCCCGAATAATCCATTATTATTGGCAACACCACCCATCCCTCAAAACCTTCCGGCATAATTTTTCGTGGGTGTTGATAGCTGCCTCGTAAAATTAATGTTCTACGATAATTACACGTGTTAAAATAAATCACGGCTCGTTCAATGACTTATTGGGAAAGTACTAAGAATTGCAATGAAATAAAAAAATACACTCATACTACGTAATAAATTTTATACAATACTGGACCTCTGTGTAAACTCCACCTTACAGAAGACAACAGTAAAATAACACTACCTTCTGGTGTTTTTTTTTTTGATTGTTTATGCTGTTGGATCCTAAGGGGACCTCAAGCCGAGAATTGCCGAGTGCCTCTAGAGGTATTGCAGGTGGATGGCGTCTCCCCACGGGGGGAGTCTCCTCTCCATCTGGAGCCTCTAGACCACTCGAACCTGAGGGGGTCGGCTCGACTATAGGGCGTCTCTGAGACTCGGACCTCGGCTCTAGTTAGCCGTTGTCGTGGGGGCAGGGAAAAACGCCCAGGTACGTACCTGTACCTGGTATAGCGTGTCGCGTGTCTTCGCACTCTTATCCTACGAGTGTGGTGTCTACCTAATGCTAAGCAAGTAAGTGTGCACGTTTGCCAGCTGTGTAGTGTTGGTGTTTGTGGCCTGTATGGGTGGAATGGGAGGCGCGTTGGCGCGGGTGATTTCATCATCGGGGTAATCTAAGACGTGCCTAGGCCGACGGAATCGGTGGGACCTACGACTGGAGGACAGGAGGGCGGACGTATGATAACTAATAGCTTTAACTACCAAGGGGTTCGGGTGATGCGCGGCTTTATCGAAGTAACGCCTCGAGGCGTCCTTCATATACTTCGCGATAGAGTCTAATTTGAGGTCGCGATGCAAATCGATGTTGCGCACGTACCACGGGCAACCCGTGGCACCGCTCAACACACGATTTTGCAGCGTTTGTAGTGGTTTAAGACGCGACGGAGGTACGTGGGCGAAGCAAACACTCGCGTAGGTCATGATAAAGCGGATACAAATTTTGTAAATGGTCAACTTATGCCTAAGTGATATCTTACTACGCTTCCCTATGAGGTGGAATAGCCTGCCGCGAATGAATGCTGCGCGATCGCGAACTATCTTGAGATGAAGTGCAAACGTTAATCGGTTATCTAACGTAACTCCCAAGTACTTGACCCGGTCCTCCCAGGGGATGACCCGGTCAAATAGTTGGATGCTCGGAAGGGAACGCGTGG